AGTGCGTCCCCAGATTTTTCTAAATTTTCATCAGAAAAATTGGGGGAGTCTTACTTTAAAGGAGGAGGGGTATTTTTTCCTGATTCTCCCCTCCCCCTAGGGGTTTTCCAGGCCTTCACATCTCTATTCATCTCTATAGCGGTACCATCTCTTCATGAATGAAAAGCAGAATTCTGTACTGTTACTCATGGGACTTCCATTTTTCAGTGTTTGTGTAATTTGGTGCTTGAGTATGAAATTAGTATCTCGTTTCTCATATTGGCATATTTATGTAGTTTTGACACAGTCTCCTAGTTGTACTGGCTTGTTTTTAGGCTGTGCACTTTGTACTGCATATGCGGAGGGGGCGGGAGTACCATTGGTTCAAAAGGCTGAAAGTTCTACTGCTTTCAGTTTATTGAAATAAGTGTGTGACAATTCAGAGCATGAAACAATTGTAGGATGTTCCAGTGTGAGGAATTAAATGGCAACAGCCAAACCAGTCAGTTGGACCCAGCATACGTGTGTGTGTGTGTGTGTGTGTATACTGCTACCGAGTCATTCAGTATACACACACACTTGCAAAGCTGACTTATACTGAATCAGACTATTGGTTCATCAAAGTCAGAACTGTCTACTCAGACTGGCAGTGCTTCTCCAGGGCCTCAGGCAGAGAGGTCTTTCACATTACCCACTGCCTGGTCTTTTTAACTGGAGATGCCAGGGATTGAACCTGGGACCTTCAACATGCCAAGCAGATGCTCTGCTATTGAGCCACAGCCCCTCCCTGTGTAAGGATCTAGTGTTTTACTGAAACATGGAGGAGCCCCTTCACAATATTTTTTTGGGGGGAAATCACTATTCTTGGTCCATTAGCGAGCCCCATGTGCTGCAATACACCTGATTAGCAAAAAGCAGTTAAGTGGCAGATTTGGGCTCCAAAGACACTCTGGTAACCGGAGCTTGAGTGGCAAGCACCTCCCTGGCAGGGGTTAATCACAGGCCAGAATAGATGAGTTCTGACCTTCAGCTGATCATAGAAACTTGCCAGTTTTTTTTTAATCAGTAGAGCCTTCCTAAGCTCTTCAGTGTATGCCAGTTATCCCTGTGGAAGTTTCACTCTCCCACACTTTACTGCCAAGCTTTTGGGAGCAACTGCAGGTTCCAGCAATGCTGTGCAGAAGGGACTAGAGCACCTTGACTGAGATATTTTTACCAGTAGTCTTGTTCAACCCCATGTGCTTTAATTTGTTGAATAGATAAACGTAGTATCTCCAAACTGTGGTCATTAGTGGATTGGGAGAGCGTCAGTCCCACTCTGTCTTGGGGTTTCTATCCATTCACACAGCTTTCTCAGGAATGACCTCTGAAAAATATCTACAAGTAACTTGTTGAGGTATCCAAATGTATAATGGATTATGATTGCATCTGTTGCATATAACCGATTTGCGATATAGCTATGATGATGAAAGATTTCATGAGCAGAGGTGTTTTCACAGCTTCAACACTGAACAGCACTGTTCACTTGGCTTTATCTTATCTCTTTGGAAACAGGTCCCTTTGGAAGAAGGCTTAAATAAAGCAATTCATTACTTTCGCAAAGAACTGGAATATCAAGCAAATAATCAGTATATCCCTAAACCCAAACCTGCCAGGATAAAAAAAGGAAGAACCAGACATAACTAAAAACAAAAAACAAAACTACTAAGTTCAACAGGAAATAAATTCTGTATCTTACATTTGAGAAGGTGTAATTTGTCTTTTTTAAAAGAGACTTCAGGAACAGGTATCATGAAGAAGAAGAAAAAAAACTGGAATTTCACTCTGAAGCTTGCTTTAAAGAAGTGGATGTGCCTAAACAAGAAAACTGCAATCTTTGCCTTGCACTTTTTAAACCTGTCTTTTTATGTAAAATAGGGATAGACGCATCTTTTTTTTAGTATTCTCAAGTTTTATACCTTGCTGTGAGACTGTTTTGTTGTGACTGTCCTTGACAGTTTTATTTACTGGTTTCTTTGTGAAGCTGCAGATGAAATGACAAAATGCCAATTTATTTATAAAGCCGGTACTTTAAAGGAGAGATACTATGCATAAAGGGAAAAAAAGAAGCTTACAGTACTGTCAGGTGATTCAAAAACACTGGCATTTAGTATTAATAGAATTATAAAAATGCTGTATGAGAGCTTTATGTATTCTTTAAAACTTTCCTTTCAAATGTTTAGTTCTAGTTGCACACTTGAATTTGAAATATTTTCACGGACTATCATGGATAAATGCTATTTTAAATCACTACTGTGTTGTGCATATTCCAGGGAGAAAAAAAGTTAATGTATTATTGGTTACCAGTGGTTGAAGATGCTATTTTAATAAAATACTGAAACTTACAGGTGTCAATTTTTTAAGTAACATTTTTTCCTGGTTGGGGTGTATGCATCTGTCTGCCTCTGTGCATAATGCAATTATGTGAATAGTGATGCAAAAATACAAAAAGTATAAATGCCTGGCTTACTGATATTCTTCCCTCTTTGAATTGTTTGTTAATATCTTTTAAGAGCTATTACGTTGTATATGAAATAATTTCAGTGGCACAATCCAGCCCCAGGTAAACAGTATTAAGGCCCACTGAGATTGGTTAAGCACAGGCCTAAAGTTTCACACAAAGCTTTGCTCATGGCTAGAGGAGAAGCAGCAAAACAATTTTTGCTGTACTAGTAGACACATTCCCAGCATCCAGTCACATTGGTCTAAAGGCCAAAGTGGATAATACAATGTCCCCAAGACTTCTATGGATATGTGGCTTGGCTTCATTTTAAAACTTTATTTTTGAAACCACCACAGGAAAGAGATCCTGCTGGGGATCCTTGATAATGGCAACCGACGGGGGTGGGTGGGCAGGAGTCCCTCCTCCCCCGGTGCTGCGGGCCCCAGCAAGTACAACACCTCTATTGGCACAGTAAATTTAACATAATGTTTAGGGTCAATATATAAAATTAAAATCCATACATAGGTTAAAACATAGGAACATAGGATTATATAAGAATTAATTTATAACAGTTTAGATTTGGCTTTAAGAATTTCTTCCAAACATTTTGCAACTTCTCTAGTAATTTCTGCTACCGAGTCATTCAGTAAGAATCAACAATTGATTGCAATGTTCATAATTATCTGAGATAAATTTCCAACGATTTCTGACGCAAATTGTCAGTAAACTGACACTCAAGCATTATATTATGGTGCTGGATTGATTCAGGAAGGTTCGCTCCACAACTGCAAAGTCTCTCTCAAAAAAGGGGGTGGTTGATATTTCCCACAGAGAACATTGGAGGTGAATGCATTCATTCTAGCCAACATAAAAGCTCTACGTTGGAAAGGAATCTCAAGATCGTATAAGTAATGGGACATTATCCCAGGCCAGGTATATAAATGTAAAAAAGCAGGAGTGGTCCCCACCTAGATCAGCCCCTTGTAGCATTTTCCGAAGTAAAAAGCAAGCTCTAAAGTGACAGCATGTCCCCGTGGTAGACTCGCAGATATCGTATTGTCTAGTTTGGCCCTAAATTCCCATGAGGGCAGTGCTACCCTGTTCTATTTAAAGAAGTAAAACATTTTGGAATTTTGTTAAGTAATTCTTCCTGTTTATAAGAATTAATGTAGCCTTTATGGTTAGAATGTGGGAGGGTGTTTGCTGAGCCTCTGCTCAGTATCTTTTTCCCCTACCACTCAATCTATGTGAGCAGCATTGGTGGTACACTGGGGACCCAAAGCAGCTTACATCATTCTCCCTGCTTCCTTTGATCCTCACAACAACCCTGTGATGTAGGTTAGGCTGAGAAAGACTGATTGGCTCAAGGTCATCAGGCCTAAGTCTCCCAGGTCCTAGTCTTACACTTCAGTGTTCTGTGGATAGCCCAAGCTAACCTGATCCTGTCAGATCTCGGAAGCTAAGCCAGGTCAGCCTAGGCTAGTATTTGGAAGAGTGACCTCCAAGGAATAACAGGGTCGTGATGGAGAGGCAGGCAATGGCAAGCCACCTCTGAAACATCTCTTGTTTTATTAGCTCACCACTTAGTGGTAAATAACAATAATCGAATGATAAATAAAGAGCTAGAACTTCTCACAGCCAGACAATCTTAGGATTTCCTGGCTCTTCTACACACACACGGCCATACAATAATTACTTCAACCACTGCACCATGCTAGTGGTATAAGATTTAATGGGTTAGAGAAGCCAGTTTGGTGTAGTGGTTAACCTGTCAGATCTCGGAAGCTAAGCCAGGTCAGCCTAGGCTAGTATTTGGAAGAGTGACCTCCAAGGAATAACAGGGTCGTGATGGAGAGGCAGGCAATGGCAAGCCACCTCTGAAACATCTCTTGTTTTATTAGCTCACCACTTAGTGGTAAATAACAATAATCGAATGATAAATAAAGAGCTAGAACTTCTCACAGCCAGACAATCTTAGGATTTCCTGGCTCTTCTACACACACATGGCCATACAATAATTACTTCAGCCACTGCACCATGCTAGTGGTATAAGCTTTAATGGGTTAGAGAACTTCTTTATAGACATGGTCTAGGTAGCTCTGTTGCAGCAGAGGATAGTGTTTGCCACTCTGGATATTTGTAAGCAGAAGACTGAAGGACTGCTTTGGGTGTTGAACCAACCAGGCTTGTGGTGTTTTTGTAGTATAGGCATGCCTGTTGCCAGTAGTGGTGTGTTGAACAGGACTGGTACTTAAGAAAACTAAGTGGTGCTGGCTTTTGATAGGGGAAGTGAAGTTTGTGTATCCCTGTTCCTGTCTTTGCAAGTCATTAGCTTGGATTTCTCTCCCCCACCACAGCCCAAAATGCTGCTCCTGAGGGACAAAACTCCAACCCATTGTTTTTGTATAGGAGTTGTTTTGAAATGTTTATTATGTGAATAGATTCAGTTCATAGGAACACCCTTCAAGATCTAGGGATTTGAAATAGGACTGATGATTTGACATCCCTCAAAATCTGGGAATGCGAAATAGGACCGATTATTTTTATTACATCGATGAAATCAGTTTATTATGACACTTCAATTCTAACACATCTATATTGTGTGCTACTGAGTGTATATAAAAAGTAACATTACATTTTTCTCATTACGTTTAACAAGTCTTAACTCAAACTTGAAAAAGGGAGACCGTGAAGGAGGGAGGAGAGGTCCTGGTTACTCTTCAGGATGGTTCTTGATCAGAGAAGAGAATTCAGGGTTAATAATCATCATAGTTGACACTGGCTCCATGCCTGAAAGTGTGTGGGTTCCGTGGGCCAATAGGAGCATCTTCATCGTAGTGGTGGTGGTAATAACCACCATAATATTCATGGCCACTCCGTCCTAGGTTTGACCAATAGGAGACATCATCTTCAAATTTCTGTATGCAAGAAAAGAGAAATAAGGGGCAGTTACGTAAAAGTGCCAGCCTTAAAATGTTTATACTCTCTCCTCCAAGAACAGTAGCTGCTTCCTGTGGGCACACACTGTTTAAAACAGTGAAGACTGTTTAAAACACCTTTGTATGTATTCATATCCTGCCTTTCCCTTGTGTATAATTCCAAATTAAAACAAACAATAAAACCCCATTTAAGCACCCTCCCCAAGAAAATGCCTGGAGCTTAGAGGCCATTAAAAGCCTTCATCTTACAGTGCCTCCTAAAAATCTTTTAAGGGTGGTGCCCTCTTACCACCTCAGAAAGCCCATTCCACAAGATGGGAACCTCTGGTGAAAGAGACTGAACTCTGGTAGATACCAAGAGGGCATAAGCATGTGAACAACCAGGAGATAGAAGTCAGAGGATCACAAGTGACGCATACAGATGTCTTGATTTTTATTCACAATGAAGGATAATATTTCACCAGTCACTTTTTGTTGTTGTTCAGTCGCACAGTCGAGTCTGACTCTTCGCGACCCCATGGACCAGATCACGCTAGCCCTTCCGGACTTCCGCCGTCCTCTGAAGTTGGCTCAATTTCATGTTCGTTGCATCTATGACACTGTCTAACCATCTCATCCTTTGCCGTCCCCGTCTTCTTTGACCTTCAATCTTTCCCAGCATCAGGGTCTTCTCCAGTGAGTGCTCCCTTCTCATTGGGTGGCCAAAGTATTTGAGCTTCAGTTTCATTATCTGGCCTTCCAGGGAACAGTCAGGGTTGATTTCTGTTAGGATTGACTGATTTGATCTTAATGGAGCTTCAGAAAAATGATTAGACACCAGCACAACACTTGATCAGTTTCTGCATTTGAAAGTGGAAGCCAAAGGCTGTGCTGACTTCTGTCATGTACATGAAGACCATGCTGGCACATACAAGTTCTACTTGGCTATCAGTGATTACAAGGTTAGCATTTTATATATTTTGCACTGCATTCACATTAAGCAAGCATTTCTGTTTCAATGTATTTTCTGTATTGGTTGACTATTGTAACATTTCTTGACATGAAAAGCAAAGAATAAGCTATAACAAGTGACCAGTTCAAAACTTTAGTTGTGCCTTTGATGCCGTACGAAGACTCCAAACGTTCGTTCATGTTTTGCCTTGAAATTGGTACCTCAATAAAATGCTATCTAACCTACATTGCAAACTCTCAAAATGTATTATTCAAAAATATATCTGTGTTGCCTTTCCAATGCCCAGAGTGATTTCTAGGATCAGCAATAAAAGCAGACAGCAGATATATATATATTAAAAAATCCATAAGCAAAAGGAGTTTGTACAAGGGTTTTTCTGCTGTCTGTGGCATGTTTGGTTTGTGAGCCACAAGCCTTCAGAAACTTTTAGGTGCCAAACAACCCAGTTCAGCTTGTGTGCCGTAGAACGCCTCCCCCCACCCCCACATACTAGAGATACCAAACTCGCAGGGGATCTCTGGCTGACTCTCTTCTTCCTGTCCTCTAAGTTTGCTGGTGATTGGATTTAAAGGATTCAAGTTACGGCCCCCGAAGAAGGTGCCCCCAGGAAAGTACTTTCTGGGAAAATGACAGGCGCAGGTTCAGGAGTGTATAGAATGGACCCTGTGGAAGCTAAAGACATCAAACTCACAGGGGACCTCCCCCTGATTCTGCTCTACATGCTCTTCAAGTTATGTTGCTTTGAAGTTTGGTAAATATTTTTGATTGAATGGAGACAGTCTTTCTGGAAATGTTTCCATTCATGAACTGCCACAAACCACTTGAAAGTTCATGGAAAGTTCATGCCAGTTGACCTGCCACAAACTTCAGTTTGTGAACCACGAACTAGCCAAAATTCATCATGAACTTTAGTTCGTGCCCATCCCTAGATATTTATATTTCTTACTGATTATATTAGACTCAGATTAAGTACAAAAGACCACTCTTCTAGACTATGTCCACAGATATGTCAAAGGAAAAAAAAACACCATTTCAAAACTATGTGGCCATATGACCTGTAATGTTTATGATTCTCTCCTTAATGTTTAAACTGAAATGTTTGTTGTGACTTACAGCTTCATCAAAGCCCAAGTAAAGGAACTGCTGGTACCACTGCTGTACATCAGGTTGACTCCTGTCCCAAAGCTGGCGTTTCTGGCGTTTCAGGCTGCTTAAGAACTCTTTAGCCTTATCTTCTTTGACTGACACGTCTCCCTTAGCTGGAACTGAGGCTGGGATGAGAATAAGAAAACACACATTATTATTATTCCAAAGGTTGCTCACGGTACATGAACACACAAACACATGAAGGCGTTGCCGCTACTTGGCCATGTTGGCTTGGATCCACCAGCAATTTCCATTGAGGGAGGGATTTCCATTGAAAGCCTGTAGGTTTCTCACCTCCTTCCTCCCACTGTGGTCCCAAATGCTGCTCCTGTGACCAAGGAGGACGCCCAGAGCAGCATAAGGAGGAAGCTGGAGGTCCGCAGTAGGAGGGGGAATTGGCAAAAATCCCTTCCCCTCAATTCTCTGCTGGACACAACCTTATGTCAATCACATACTTCAGATAAAAAGATGGGAGACCCTGAATAAGCAACATCACAACCATGGTATGCATATTTATGCAAGCTATGAAGACAATATTGAAGTTAACATCCTGTCTGTACCAGCACAATGATATCTCTGAATGTATCACAAATTCTTATAGTGCTATCCTGAGAACACCTTCCTGAAAGTAAGCCCCATTTAAAGGTTTCCCTGTATAAGGGTCAAGAAGCGACAGTTAGAACAGGATATGAAACAACTGATTGGTTTAGCATAGGAAAAGGAGTACGACAAGGATGTATATTGTCCCCTTGCTTATTTAATTTATATGCAGAGTACATCATGCAAAATGCCAGCCTGGATGATTCAGAAGCCGGAATTAAGATTGCTGGGAAAAACATCAACAATCTCAGATATGCAGACAATATCACTCTAATGACAGAAAGGGGAACTAAAGAGCCTCTTGCTAAGTGTGAAAGACGAGAGCGCAAAGGTTGGCTTGAAAATCAACATAAAAACTAAGATGATGGCATCCGGCCGTATCACACCTTGGCAAATGGAAGGGGAAGTCGTGGAAGCAGTGACAGACTTCACGTTCCTGGGATCCAAGATCACTGCAGATGGTGACTGCAGCCATGAAATTAAAAGATGCCTGCTCCTTGGGAGGAAAGCGATGGCAAACCTTGACAGCATAATAAAAAGTAGAGACATCACCCTGCCAACAAAAGTCCATATTGTCAAAGCGATGGTATTCCCAGTAGTACT